AAGAATACTCTTCTGATGCTTTAAAGCACATATTACATAGTGAAAAGGTCAACAAGACTCTCAGTGAATGCCTGCAGTTAACAGCACAGGTATTTGGACCCTTGCCTACTGAGTTCTGATCATACAGTTCCCCACAACATACAAGTCCTACAGGTGTGCTAGACCCATGTGAATCTGGTACAGGGGAATAATTGTTCCCCAAGTTAAGCAATGTCATAGCTTTTGCCAACACCTGAAGAAATAAAGCTTTACCGATTTACTGAATTACCGAATAAGAATAGGCAATAATGGTAATAATAGTACAGCTATAATAGTAGAAGAGTTACAACATAGTAAATAGCTAGAAGGAATTAATCTAAAACAAGTTTGCATTTGCAGAAACTTGTCTGTACTTCTGAATAAGTCTGTTTCAGGTAGTTCTGAAGATGTCTATACATTCTACTATCCCTTCTACTCACAATACTGTATAAATAATTCTCATTTGGAAGAACAGATGCATAGCAATTCTTCTGCCAGAGAAAGAAAAAAATACTTGCTTTCTAGTTCAAAACCAGCTAAACTACGGCACCTCAATGTGTTAACTGCATTTAAATTTCTGCTTTTGTGTTGACTTTAGGGATGTCAAGGTGATGAAGTACGTGCCATGTTGGAAGATCTCGCACTGAGCATTCCTGGGGTTAAAAAGCTTGCAAAATATTGGATCTGCTGTATGCATCTTGAACAGAGGGGCTCTCTTGAAAAGCTTATTGCTGTCTATGAGGAGGCCATTTTGGCAGGAGCAATGGTAAGCAGCTTTTCTTGAAGTTTGAGATTAACAATTAGTGAGGCATGGAAGTATGGTATGTAAAATACAACTGCTTCTGATTTTATTAAATTCTTTTATGGTTGAAGGAGAGCCATGTGACTTACTTAAACATAAAAATAATGGATTTAGTTTGCTCTCTAACCACTGTAGGCACTACTTTGAAGAAGAAGGGTTTTAGGATCATTGAATTGCCGTATGATGTTCCACTTAGAAGGCATTAAGGATTGAGACTTCTAGTATCACTAGAAACCCAAAACATAACTTAGTTTTACACTTATTGATGGACTTCACTTCTGTGCTTTACTAATAGCAAGATTTCAGGACATCAAATAACAGCTTTAGAGCACCAAATGCAGAAAATACAGGATTCACTTTTTTTCTTACTTGTGTCTGAACAGCACTAAATAAAGGGTTTCTAAGGTGAACCTCATGTGATCTGTACCACTTTCCCTGTAACAGTTATATGAAATAAATAAGCTGAGATAATGATTATTTTTGTAATTGTTTTTCTAAAACAGTACAACTTTTTTTCAGCCTAAAGAGGAACTACGACACACACTAATAGATACTATGAAAAATAATGAAAGCCTTTTTAAGTCTGAGAATGGTAAGTTTGAGTACTCTATTTTAATTAAATGTGGGACTTAACAGGCAACACAAGCTGTGTACAGAACACAAACTATTTGTGTTGATATTAAATTTTATTTCATAGAAAATTTTCTGTGATAATTTTGTACTTAATTGTCTTTGAAAACAATCTTGACTAACCAAATACTTTTCAATAGTGGGCATGTTAAAATGATTGGAGATGCTTTTGTATTCAAACTTTCTACTTAAACTTTATCAAAGCTATTTCAGCCTGATAATCAAAGAGTAAATAAAAACACTCTTGTGAGCTAGAAATCAATGCCTCTTTGACACAAACTCCTTCACTACCAGAAGCAAGGTTGTGTTTTGGCATCATGTCAGTTAAAGGTTCTAAATATTCTAGTTTTTGAAGTAAAGTAGCCATAAATATTCCCATTCAGTATAACATAACCTGACAAATATTTGAACCCAGAAACTGAAATATTTGTTCAGAGCTGCTGCACTTGGAAAGTAAGAGAATGACTTCTCAGTATGTGTACTTAGTTTGAGTTTTGAGGTTGCAGGTTCTCAAAGGTGACTAAAATTATTAGTAATTTAAATTGCTGTGGCTTAGTCTTAATGCTTACTTAACTTTCATTCTCATGTAAAGCTCTAAAATGTCAGGATCTCTCTAAAACATTCTCTTTAGTTGTAACTAATCACAGCTGTACCTTTTTCTGTATTTTATTTTTAGGGAGAACTATGATAGAAGCTCATTTAAGTGAGTTAGTGGAAGTCAGCAAGGAACCAAATTCATCTGTAGAGCCAGTTCAGGAAACCTTCAAGGATTTCTGCTCTGATGATGTCCAAAAAGCAGAGAGTGATAACAAGAAGGCAGAGGCAAGCAGTGAAGCTGTCCAGAAAGAAGAAACTGATTTAGATTTAAAACCAAGGGAACAGATCTTGCCAAAAAAGAATAAAAAGCACAAGGGTAAAGAACGTTCAAAAAAGAAAGCAAAATGCGAAACAGAACAGCGTGAGGATGGGATAAAAGATAAGGCCCAAGCAGTTAATTCTCCTGAGAAGGGGAATGACACATCTTGTTCAATGAAAAACGATCCTCCTACCACTCCATACTTGGAAAGGTAAGATTACTTCAGATAACTATGGAAAGTCTGCAGTGTCTGGAGAAAAAATAATATTTGTGTCCTGTTGAAACAGGGAGGCATTGCATTTCTGAACACCTGCTTAAAAGCTCTCAAGAACTTTTATTTTTAGGATTGCTTCCTCTTCCCTCAGAAGGAAGTATTTTTAAATGAATTTCTCTATTTACTCAAACTGTTTTGCTTTGTGAATGCCTCACTACAGAGTAACTAGACTTTTGTGGCAGAGACATAAATTCCATGTTTGGGATGCCCTCCCACAGTTCCACATCACCGTAGCAGTTCTACACTGAGCTAGGTAAAGAGAAAGCAGTTGTCTCCAGTCCTCTCCTTTTCAAATGCAGATGTGATTGTATGTCATGCAACACAGAAATACTGAACAAGATGTAAGTGTCCCGTAGTGGTTATCTTGAGGCAAAAGTCTGGGTAGTAACCTTCGTACAAAGCAGATAATATTGACATTATTTTTTTTACCACAAGGTTTCTTCTAAGATAGCAGCCTTAGGAAAGTTGTGCTCAGCTTTGGCATCTGATGAAGCTGGAGAGCTGGGAGCTGTCTGCTATCCCTCACAGAAGGAATCGCAATTTGCCCTTGATGGAATAGGGAGGGATCTTCCTTTAGGAACTGTTTTCAGGAGATTCTCTGGGTTAAAATATTTTGCCCAAGAAAAGTTGTATATCTAATTCTAACTGTATGACTGGGAAAGGGCCTGTTTCCTTTGGTTGTGGGAAATGGGAAAGAGTTGAACATGAATCACAACTTGCTGTTTCTGCTGGATGCTACAAAGGTAACTTGTATGATGGTGTGCCTATATTTAATGATTTGTGATTTTTTTTTCTTTCTCAAAGCGTGAAGATGTCTCATGAGGCAAATTACTGCAGTGCTAAAGATCTGAAAATTGTAACCCCCTTGCGATATTCTCAACGCATTCGGGAGAAAATGTGCAAGCTGTCTGATACTGGCAAAGATCAAGATCCATGTGTCTCTTCACTTGAACAGCTGGGAGAATTGGAATCTGAAGCCACTGTATTTATCCACAAAGAGAGCAATGCCTTCCAAGAAACAAATGCTGAAATAGAAGAGTAAAAAGTAGTGTTACTGCTATTCAGGGGTCAAAGATTTGATTTTAAGGAGAGTTGAGTGGGACTTGGTTTTAGCAGCTTTGAGAAAGGAGCTATTTACGACTGGATGGCTTAAGGTGAAATTTGACTGCCTGAGTCACTAAATAAACTCTTAAAGTTTCTGCCATTTCAAAATTGTAATAAATCTGCTCTGGTTTAGTACTAGATCGATGTCTGTGTTTAACTATGTTTCATTAAATATGAAATTAGGGTTAGGTGTAAAGCTTCATGTTGTAGTATATTGCTAATATCTACTGTTTTCCTGTTGCAATTGCAGAACTCTAGGAACCTTTCGGTTTAACAAAATAAAAAGAAATGTAGATGTTCTAACAAGTCCCTATCTACTACAACATCTAGTTTTGAAAACTGAAGCCAGCTTGTAAGGTGTAGGCTAAATTTAAACTTTTATTTAGTTTTAGAGGTGTTTCAACAAAAAACATTTTAATCTCTTTAGTTACTGACATTGTTCATTACCAAGTAATCTTAGGTAAGGTCTGATACACTACTTACTATGTGACTGTTTTAATGTTGGTTTGCAGTAGTCTCTAATACAGCAGACATTAAACTCATCAACTGAGTTGCGTTTGTTCTTTTATTTATGGGCTTTACGCTGTAAACTATGTAGTCTGTTCTTGAAAGTGAACTGTCAAAGCGGAACACTGAGATTTCCCACGCTCGGCACACTCGGTGTTTCCCTATTTCAGCCTGAGGGACAGCCCTCTCTGCCAGTGGCACCGCCTCAGGGGCGGGGGCTGGGCGTTCCGTCCCAGGCAGCCCCATTCTCCTCCCCATCCTCTGCCCCCAGCTCGGTCCGTGGTGGCCTTGGAGCCGGCGCTGGGCTTGTGCCAGGGGCTTTGCTCGGGCCTCTGCCCGGCGGGATTGTGGCCCGCCGAGGTGAGTACTCTGAGGGGCTGGGGGCAGGCTGGGGCTGCCCCCCCTCGGGCTACGGGAGCTGTAGAAACAAAGCCCCCCGGTGCTTTTCAGAAACAACTCAGCAGGTTAAAACACCGTGTGTGTATACAGTGTATACATAAAGGGATGTTTGGAACGTGGATAACCAACTTAGAAACACCAGCGTTTGGGGAAAAAAGGGAGAATAGGTCGCTGCTGTGGGTGAAATGCTTGAGGAGAAGCATTTTTAGCAGAGAAGGGAAATGTGCGAGTTTCAGCAGTCGTGGGAGCTCTCTGGTGTTGTGGGATTAGGCTCCATAGCAATGTCCTCTCCAGAGAGAGAGGACGTGGTCCCAAACTGTGTCAGGGGAGGTTTGGGTTGGACAGCAAGAGGAATTTCTTCATGGAAGGAAGAGGATGTTAAACGTTGGAACAAGTTGCCCAGGGAGGTAGTGGAGTCACCATTCCTGGAGGTGTTCGAGAAATGACTACATGTGGCACTTAGTGCCGTGGTCTGGTTGACAAGGTGGTCGGCAGTCTTGAAGTTGGACTTGGTGATCTCAGAGGTCTTTTCCAACCTCAGCGATTCTGTGATACAGCTTACATGCAGTGATAGGACAAGTGGGAACAGTTCAGAGCTGAACCAGGGGAGTTTTACACTGGATGTTAGGAAACATTTCTTTGCTGAGAGGGTGGCCAAACACTGGAAGAGACTTCTTAGAGAGGTGGTCAGAGCCCCAAGCCTGTCAGTGATTAAGAGGCATTTGCACTATCCACTTACTAATATGATTTAACTTTTGGTCACCCCTGAAATGGTCAGGTAGTTGGACTAGGTGACCGTTGCAGGTCCCTTCCAACTGAAATACTCCATATCTTCAGTTGTTGAAGTTGTTGGGCAGTAACTTTTACAAGTTTGATCCTGCTTATGGTGTTTTAGGTGAGAATGGTCACTGGAAGCTTGAGGCTTATGTTATTGTGCCTGTGAGTTTTCTTTAGTGTTATGTAACCACCTGCAGGAGTGCAGGTAACAAAAGGAAGATGAAAAGTTGTAGGTTTATAATTTACATTTTCAAAGAACTTTAGCATGTGAAATGAAAAAATGCATTGATAATGCTGTATGACGCTTTGAGTTGTACTTTCTGGAGGCCTCATTTTCAGTAAAATCCTGGTAGCAGTGCACAGAAGTGTTACAGTAATGCTGGATGGTTGTAGGTACCCATATTTATCACTCATTCTCATTATTTTGAGGGTTTTTTTGAAGAGAAGTGTTGGACCTGGGCCTGTAAAGAATGGAAGAATACAAAGTGTTGAAAGCACTAGGAGAGGGATCCTTTGGCAGAGTTCTCCTAGTTCATCATAGAATCAGTGACCAGAAGTATGCGATGAAGGAAATAAGACTTCCCATGGTAAGTGTGACACATACACCACCTCACCCACTGCTTAAAAAAAGCGCAAAATTTAAAAAAAATCATAATTGTGCACGTGTTTTCGAAACGCCGAACACTTTTGCTGCAAATTTTGTGTATTAGACAGTTGCATGGTATGGTAACTGTATAACTATGTCTGACCTGATGTTGTTGGTACTAAGTAAAGTAGGAAAATCTGATCCAATTCAGAAAGTGCATGGTTACATTTTGGGAAGTGCAGCGCATAGGAAGACACTTAGAATGAAATCCCTGATCCCCGATGCCCTTGATTTCGCTGGAATGCAGATTCATATGCAATGCCTAATGAGGAAATTATTATTATTATTGCTGGGAATCACTTTTTTGGGTTATCCTCTCTGCATCTAGGTAAGCAAAAAAAATCACTAAATGGGAGACACCAGCTTTCTGGAGCCTGAGGCTCTGTTAAGATTTGGGCACTTGACTTAATATTGAGTTCATGAAGACTGTCAGCTGTTCCAAAGTCAGTGTGTGCTGCTTTGTTACGTAGTTCTCCACTTTTAAAGTCGAAAAAGTCATTAATTGAAGTAGGAAAATATCCTCTAAAATGAAAAAAAAAAAAAAAAGAAAAGAAATATTAAAATCCAAACATCTAAAAAGCTCAAAGAAGTCTTCAGCTAGGAATAAACCATAGATTAAAAAGATGGGGCTTTTGGGTTTCTAAACGACTTTTAAAAATAATTGAAAAATAATTCTTAAAAATATTTTCCTTTTGGAAAGTGAAGTGCATTGTATGTCTATGTGAAAATCTGTAAATGTGACATTTATATAAGTGTACTTATATTTTCAGTCTTCATCTGATGTATAGAACTCTAGGAAGGAAGCAGTTCTTTTGGCTAAAATGAAACATCCAAATATCGTTGCCTATAAAGAATCGTTTGAAGGTAAATACAAAAATTTAAATTCCTTCATTTGTTTCAAGTTGCATACTCCTCAGGGATCAAGATTACTTTCTTTTTTTGTTTACAATACGTTATAAACAAAATACATGTTTATTGTAATGTATAATACATGGCATGTAGTTGGAGCTTTATAGTAAAAAGTATTACAGTAAAAACCAGTACTTATTCTGCTAATGAAAATACTAACTGTTCTCAAGTTACCTAAAATTTAGCTGATGGACATCTGTATATAGTGATGGAATATTGTGACGATGGAGGTCTAATGCAAAAGATTAAACACCAAAGAGGAAATTTGTTCCACGAAGATACATACGGTAAGAAAAGACGTTGTTTTGAACCAGAGGGCCAGGAATCCTTTTTCACGTAAACTGAAGCATGCTGCATGAACCAAATTACAGATACACTAACACCGTGAGGTACCTTAAATAAAACAAAGGCAATTACAGATAGAATAGGAAAGTTATTTCTTTTATAATTTCCAGCAGAACAAGGCAAGAATTGAACTGAAAGGATTAAAAAAGTAATTGCTGCCTGTATCTGCGAATTGTGCAGATAGCAGGGAAAAACAGTCGAGTTTGTATGCAATTAAATAAGAATTTTACAGAAACTTGAGACAGAATTTAAAGCACAGTAAGATGTACTGCAAATGAAAAGTAAACAAAGCACTCTGGCAAGATAAATTAAGCTAGCCAAGAGGCTTAATGCTTGCATTTTATGTAGCAATTAAATGTTTAAAGTATTCAGCAGGCATTAACTCCTTTTATCAGAGTGGCTATAAAATTACTTAGAAGATTCAAAGGGACATTTTAGTGAATGAAAGCTACTTCCTGCCACAGTTAGAAGCATCATGTGGGTTAAAATGAAAGGACCAGAAGTCTCAACTAACCGAATATTCAGATTTTCTGTGCATCTTTGTATCTTTAGGAGTTTTCTTTTATACTTTAAAAGGAGCACATTTTGTTTTAGGAACTATGTGTTAAATCCACATGGGGGTTTTTTTTGTTGTTTTTGTTTGGTGGGTGGGGTTTTTTATTTGCTAATTTACTATGAAACTGTAATTAACCTGCTTATAAAATGACCATGAGATAAAATGCCTTGTAGCAACTCCCTACCTTCATTCATCATTGTTATGTATTATTACAGCTTTCTAGACACAGGTAATAAACGTTCCCTCTGTCATATTAAACATAATTTTTCCTGAACTCAGTCTTTCATGCTGATGGGAGGCTATTATGTTAGAGTTACTTTTAACTTCCAAATATTTGGAACATGGTTTTCTTTTCCTAATTTTTTTATCTATTAGTATTCATTACATACAGGATTGAGCTGTTATAACTTTTTTCAGATCCTTCAGTGGTTTGTGCTGATGTGCCTGGCTGTGAAGCACATTCATGATAAACGTGTGCTGCACAGGGATATAAAATCCAAGGTGAACAGAGCAAGTTTTGTTGCCATTAAAGGCCTCTTCTGCATGTAAAAGTTAACTCCCTCTTTCATAATTACCTGTGACAGCTAAGTTCTTTGTTTTTTATTTAGGCCTAAGAATATCATGTAGATCAAAGTGTTGAGTGCATGGGATGATGTAATATTGCGGGTGTAACCATCGTCTAAGTATAGATACATCCTTCATATCCAAACTGCTGATAGCACTAATTGCTTGTGACAGACTGCATATAATTTAAAACAATAACAGAGGTATAAATAAAGTGTATGGATTATGCAGTTTTTAAATGTCTTGCCTCACATTCTTTTCTTTGTTACTCTTTCCTATCAGAAAGAGAGAAATTCACAAGGAAGTGTGACCTTATTGGTTTGAGTACAGCACAGAGATTAAGGCAATTCTTATCTCTGATTCTTCCTCTGCTAATGATGCTGGGGCTTCAGGCCCATATAACCTTTCCATTTCCCTGGATATAGTTCTGTGTCATGGAACCAAAGGACATGACACAGTTCTTAGGCCTTTTTTTT